CAAGTAGAAATGAGGACAGGAGCAGGAATATAGCTATTGTGTGCAAATGGACAGGAGAGCTGAGAAGACAGAGGAAATCATTTGTATTCGGAAAACAGTCTTTACTACTCAGTTACTGAAATAAGTATTATTGATAAAGGGCTTGCATTTACGATAAATCTTGGCAATTCTTGACAACCGTTGGGGATTATATACTCTGTTTAGCAGTTGCTGAAATTACTCTCTATTGACATCAAGCCTACAAATTGTAACGAAAATTGGTGATGACGAAAGTAAGACAGACGTAAATAACAGTATAGAAAAAGACCATGAAAAGATTGGTATAGACTAGAAGCACATTCCATTTGTATTTTATGCTCTGTAGATATAGTTATTATGTTGATAACTGAAAATTTTCTTGTTTGTTTAGAATCCAAGTTTGCACAAAACCTTAAATAACAAAGCTGTTGAAGTTTCCTTATTGTATCAAATGAATGAAAAATGTGCCTGTTCTCGTTACAGTAGTTGATATAAGACACTTCTCATTCTTATGCCAAAATTTACTCTTTGGTATCATGTGATATATTTGATGCAAAAAAAAATCAACCAAATATCCAAATAGTCTTCTACTTCTTCTTCTTCTTCTTCTTCTTCTTCTTCTTCTTCTTCTTCTTCTCTCTCTCTCTCTCTCTCTCTCTCTCTCTCTCTCTCTCTCTCTCTCTCTCTCTCTCTCTCTCTCTCCCATCTCTCTCTCTCCCTCTTTCCCCTCTCTCTCTCTCTTCCTTTTCTCTCTCTCCCCTCTCTTTCTTTCCCCTCTCTGTCTTTCCCCTCTCTCTCTTTCCCTTTTTCTTTTTCTTTTTCTTTTTCTTTTTCTTTTTCTTTTCATCCCCTTCCCCTCTCTCCTCTCCCCTTCTACCCCTCTCCCTTCCTAACAACCTATCTCTTTGCTTACTTCTCATTGAACTTCTGTCAAAATCACTAATCAGGTAAAACTCACTCTGTTCATAGTATACCAGATTATACCAAAGAAAATGGTTTGGCAAAATAAAAAGGGGCATTCCTTGGAAAGCATCATGGGACAGCAGTGATTTTTGTTTTTCATGCTATGAATATAAAACTCATTAACTTTTGTAATATGTCTCAGTAACATTGAATCTAAAGTGTGGGATTATTAAATTTGAAGAAGTCGTTGAAGATAAAGAGATTAAAAAGAAAAAGATACAAGATATATAAAAGAAATTAATCTGACAATGTAGAATGCATGTCATGATTGCACTCTATGCATCAGTTGGTTTTATTGAGTATTTCAAGTGCCACTGCCTGTTTAATGTAGCTATTCAGAAATCCACAAGGTATCAGTGGGATAAGTATTTTTAAGTGTGTGTTTGACTATTCCTGATTGAATGAATTTTGTGAATTTAACATCTTGTTCTCAATTCTACTGAAAATTTACAGGCAATACTCCTTGCTCGAGCTAAAATGGCTCGGTCTCAGTCGTTCTCTCACAAACGTCTTGAAGAAATATATAACAGTGAAGCTGAGCCACCTTTGAACACTGTATGATACAGAGAAAGTCATGATGTATTGAAAGACAAGAACAATTTTGAGTGACAGATATTTTTGATATTTCTAACTGGAATTGATCCAGCATACTATCTGTCAGTTTTTTCGCTCAGAATTGTTTGCGTCTCTGTTTTGAACAAATCTATGCGAACACTTGCTTTTTAATGCAAAGAATTTAGTAAGCGTAGCATATTTTGTTATAAAGATGTTGGCTTAGGTTTCACCTCAAAGCGGAAGTTACTCTTCATCAGTGTGGAGACTAAAAAAAAAAGAATGAAATAAAACTAATGATAATGGAACTGCTTGAAAATATGTATAATTTAATTAGATTTCAACTAGTAATAACATTAGGCTTTTGACTGAGAGCTAAGACTTGCTGAGCTTTTTGTGATCAAATTGTCTATGTACCTTCACTGATTCTCTGAAGCTTAAATTTTCCAATGATTGATAAGCTTGTGGGGGATGTATTAGCTACACCCTCTCCTTGTAAGCATGATGTTAATCCCTGTTTTAATCACTGTGGGGGTCTTGTTGTCATTATGCAGTGTTGAGCCCTCAATGGCAGATTGTCTTGTTAGAAGCACCTTGGTAGCATCCTCATCCTCTCTTCCTTCTCTGGCATTGTGAGCTTATTTTTTAGTCTTCAAATCAATGATGAGAAGTTCTGAAGTCTTGAGGAAGGTGTTCTTGCCGACTTTCTACTTTCTCATTTTTCAAAGTTGAGATAAAACACAAGGGAAGTGTATATGTATTGGCGCCAGGGAAATGGACTGTCTGCTGTAGTTTTGCTTTGTCTGTTTTGTTTATGTACAGATGGTGGGGAGTCACAAAAGAGTCAATGACCTGAGTTACCTCCCTCCCTCCCTCCCTCCTTCCCTCTTTCCCTCTTCTCCACCCTCCCTCCATTTTTCTTTCCCTCTTTCTTCTCCCTCCCTCCCTTTTTCCCTCTTCTCACTCCCTCCCTTCCTCCCTCTCTCCCCAGTTTTTTATCTCAGTTTCTACTATTATCATTGTTAATATTATTGTCAATATTGGCATTATTATAAAATGGCAATATCAGCGATTGAATCTTTAGTGACTGAGCATTTGGGGAGCCATATATGTAAAACAAAACTGATAAACTGAAACCACAATAGACTTATTCTAGTCTTTGATATAGTCTTTGATTCTTCAAAGATTGTGGGTTTTATGTGGAAAATGAAACATGGTATTTTTTGCATTAGACTTAGCAAGTGTTCCTATAGTGCTAGGTTGTAGAGCACTAGTTGGCTTTAAGCACAAATTAAATAAAACTAAACATAGATGTATATATATATATATATATATATATATATATATATGGGTCTTTTGTGGAAACAAAATCTCAGTAAAATTGACATATTTAAAAGAAATTAAGATGCAAACCATACATGATTGAATGTCGTAATTCTCTTGTTGATTTCTTTGATGAAAATCTGACTGTATCCAAAAGGACACATATATATATATATATATACAGTATATATTTGAACCACACTACTTTACCAGGTCTGAAAACACAGTTTGACTGCCATGGAACACATGCATGTAGACAAAAGAGCTTTGGTTAAATGAAGACTTGCATTGTGTATGCAGAGTAATTGTCAAGCACAGAAATTAATTCATTGAAGATCTTTTGATTTAAAAAGTGTTATATCTACATGTATGTATAATAAACATGACTATTTAAATTTGAAAAATGCATTACTAATGTATTTAAAGGAAAAGTTCTGGATGAGAAATAATTATGTATTTCTTAAACAGGGTAGGGGAAAGGGAGACACAGACATGATCCAGTTTCACAATGACTTGCGGGAGACCTGTGTTGATTTGATGGCACGCTACACCTTTGCATCCTGTGCACCTCTACCCAAAAGGTAAGTTCCTATATACTCGCTGGTTGCTGAAGTCTGAGGTAAAAATTGGTAGTCGTAAAGTAGAGGAGGAGGTGCATTACTTGCTCTATTTAGATATTGTTGGTGATTATTATTTGTATGTTTTTTTGTTAACTCCTTCATGGCGGGATTTTCTGGTGCCGTACTGAGACATGCATCAGGTGGCACAGTCAGCCATTGAAGGGAAAAATTAGAACTGTGCGAAACATAAATACAACCCAGTCTCTGTTCTCTTGGCTATAGCATGAATTATTATTTTATTCATAAGGCTAAAAAGAAGCTTTGAGCCCACTTTCAAGTTTGTTTGTTTTTCGTTGATAACTTTAACCAGAGCCAAACAAGTGATCTACTTTGTAGCGCCCACTACTTCGAGCAGGTTCAGCTATGCATGACGTGATTGGATACCCCAGCATGAGTAATGGTTCAGCCAAGATGTGAGGGGACATCATTTGCCATGAGTGGGTTATTGACAAGACTTGATTTAAGCAAGGAGGATAACACTATGGTTTGTTTTTCAGAGGGACTGTTGCTGAAATGCTAGTGTCAGGAGGTCAGTCTCAGACCTGGCTCATAGGAAACAAGTTGATCACAATCACAACTTCTGGCTGTTCGCAGAGGCCGCTGAGACAAGGCCTGTGCGACAAGTGTTTGCAACTTTGTAACCTTGAAAAAAGTATGTTTATCTTTTGTACATTGAGACTTCCTCTACATGTGTGTGGGCCTTTGTGGGGCTGTGGGGTGTGTGGCTGTAGGTGGGGGTTTGGTGGTGTGTGGGTGTGTCGACATATGTACATGGGTGGTTGGAGTCTGTGGACTTATATGAATATACATTTTTCATTGTTGTTGTTGCTTATCAAATATGAATTTAGTGTCATGCTCATGTGAGGTAGACTAGATTTGGGGGAACTTTGTTTCAGGATCACCAGCACCAGAGACTTTTGCTGCCAGCACCAACCTCAATCGTAGGAGACATCGCTCTGAATTCCATAGGACAATATCACATGAAGTTAGTCTTCTCCATTTTATGATATTTTTATACTTTGTTAACAGTGATATATAACAAATGTGATATTGCAAGAAAATGGAAAAGGTTTTCATGAAATATTCTGGAATTAATTTACAGGCAAAGCACAAGCCACAGAGTAAGGATGACCTACACATGTGGTCAGTAAAAAGAGAAAATGGAGATGGACTTACCCCATTAGTTGACCAAGGTGAGGAGGACTGCTTAGTAAAACAAATTTTGATGTTTTGTTTTTTGCAAGTAGAATCAAAGGAAAAGAATATATGCAGTTAAAGTTTGTTTATTTATTTTTTTAATCCAAATACTTTTTTAACCCCAAGCCACCGGGGATGGTATGTGCGTACATGCCATGCCCACTATGACTTTTATTAATTGCTTTTACACGTAGATGGCCCCACAAGAACTAAGTCACCAATGAGCCAATTACGAGTACTACCTGTCTCACCTGTTTAGCCTTGTGCTTGATTTTTTAAGCTATTTTCTGGTATGTAATAATTTCTGTTAGTAATGTCGGTAGCACTATAATAAGTATAAAGTCTGTAATAAAAATGACAACATCGATGTTGATAGCATTGGTTAAGAAAAAAAAGAAAAAAAAAGGACGTTTTTCCCCACATACTCAAAAAAGGTGAAAGCAGGTGGGGTCACACGGTCTGCTAATTGACACCTTTGTGGCTAAGCACTTGCAGAGCCATCTTTGTGCAGAGACATTTCACAAACAGTTGCTAAAGTGAATACAACATTTTCCTGGGGACTTTTGGTTAACATTTATGAAGTTCCTAATTTTTGAACTCACATCATGCTTTACCAGAGGGCCATTAGCTTGCCTCTGATGTACCACTTCTAATATGGATCTCTTTCCTTGCAAAACTCTCCCTTGTGTGATGATACTGCAGTTAGTTTCTCTGTTGTACTTTTGTGTTGAATATGGATTGTGGTTAATGTTGCTTCATGATTATGACACAATATGATTTGGGAATGCTGTTAATTTTATCCAAATAAATATCTCTGCACAAACTGATGTTTTTGTATATGTCTGTGTACATGCAAATTACAATATAGGATTTTTGTATTGAAATTATATTCTTATATATCTATGTAAATGTTCATGTGTCAAAATATGGTTATATGTATATGTTTAAGTTTGTATTTATTGTTTGCAAGAATGTGTGGGGTCATGTTTATCCTTGTGTACTCTTAGTGTTATATATCATATTGTAAATGCTTTGTAATGTTTTTTGTGCTTTTTTTGTTTGGGGATGGGAAAATATGGTAACTTTGAAGATTTTATTGACATTTTGACTTTTTTTTCTACCAAAATTTGGAGAGGAATATATATCATAACAGTATAGCATTAACAATCAGTGAAAATAGATCCTGTACTGCATTGGTTATTTTTTTTATTTAACTTTTAATGATGTAAGCATATTGAGATTGAATTGATTTCATAGATTTATTTAATTAATGGTTTCTTTGATGGAAATGAATCACCTTGCAGTTTAGTATATAGGATTTCATATATGTCACTCTCTCACTCTCTCACTCTCTCACTCTCTCACTCTCTCACTCTCTCACTCTCTCACTCTCTCACTCTCTCACTCTCTCACTCTCTCACTCTCTCACTCTCTCACTCTCTCACTCTCTCACTCTCTCACTCTCTCACTCTCTCACTCTCTCACTCTCTCACTCTCTCACTCTCTCACTCTCTCACTCTCTCACTCTCTCACTCTCTCACTCTCTCACTCTCTCACTCTCTCACTCTCTCACTCTCTCACTCTCTCACTCTCTCACTCTCTCACTCTCTCACTCTCTCACTCTCTCACTCTCTCACTCTCTCACTCTCTCACTCTCTCACTCTCTCACTCTCTCACTCTCTCACTCTCTCACTCTCTCACTCTCTCACTCTCTCACTCTCTCACTCTCTCACTCTCTCACTCTCTCACTCTCTCACTCTCTCACTCTCTCACTCTCTCACTCTCTCACTCTCTCACTCTCTCACTCTCTCACTCTCTCACTCTCTCACTCTCTCACTCTCTCACTCTCTCACTCTCTCACTCTCTCACTCTCTCACTCTCTCACTCTCTCACTCTCTCACTCTCTCACTCTCTCACTCTCTCACTCTCTCACTCTCTCACTCTCTCACTCTCTCACTCTCTCACTCTCTCACTCTCTCACTCTCTCACTCTCTCACTCTCTCACTCTCTCACTCTCTCACTCTCTCACTCTCTCACTCTCTCACTCTCTCACTCTCTCACTCTCTCACTCTCTCACTCTCTCACTCTCTCACTCTCTCACTCTCTCACTCTCTCACTCTCTCACTCTCTCACTCTCTCACTCTCTCACTCTCTCACTCTCTCACTCTCTCACTCTCTCACTCTCTCACTCTCTCACTCTCTCACTCTCTCACTCTCTCACTCTCTCACTCTCTCACTCTCTCACTCTCTCACTCTCTCACTCTCTCACTCTCTCACTCTCTCACTCTCTCACTCTCTCACTCTCTCACTCTCTCACTCTCTCACTCTCTCACTCTCTCACTCTCTCACTCTCTCACTCTCTCACTCTCTCACTCTCTCACTCTCTCACTCTCTCACTCTCTCACTCTCTCACTCTCTCACTCTCTCACTCTCTCACTCTCTCACTCTCTCACTCTCTCACTCTCTCACTCTCTCACTCTCTCACTCTCTCACTCTCTCACTCTCTCACTCTCTCACTCTCTCACTCTCTCACTCTCTCACTCTCTCACTCTCTCACTCTCTCACTCTCTCACTCTCTCACTCTCTCACTCTCTCACTCTCTCACTCTCTCACTCTCTCACTCTCTCACTCTCTCACTCTCTCACTCTCTCACTCTCTCACTCTCTCACTCTCTCACTCTCTCACTCTCTCACTCTCTCACTCTCTCACTCTCTCACTCTCTCACTCTCTCACTCTCTCACTCTCTCACTCTCTCACTCTCTCACTCTCTCACTCTCTCACTCTCTCACTCTCTCACTCTCTCACTCTCTCACTCTCTCACTCTCTCACTTAACCATGTACTTACTTGGTTTGTTGTATTTCTAATACCATTAATCTATCATGTGAATTTTAGGCGATGGTGTTGCCTGGTCGAGCAGCAATATGGGAGAGGCAGGTGACAGCGAATCATCGCCAGTTGATAAGCTGGTGTTTGGCAGCAATGTAGGAAGCAGCAGCACAGCACCCAATGAGAACAAGCGTGTAGAGCAGCACTTGTGTGCTTGTTGGTGCCAGGGCTGGGCCGAGATATACATCAGACAGCCCACAGGTTAGTGATTTGGGGCTGGGTTGGAAAGGGTGGCCTTGAAGTGCAGCCTGAATTTTGGAGGTTCAAGACCTTTTTGTTCTCATTGATGTATATATATGTTTCATTAGTAAACCATGACATTTTTGGAGACCTCAGGTTTAGTTTCTGCTAGTTTGTTTAGAATGACCAACTAAGAACGAGTAGATTAAGATTTTTGTCTTTTATCATTCTCACTTTTATTTTTCAATAATAAAGTAACCCAATGAATGATTCAGGAAAATCATTTAGTAAACTTCAGAAAGAGAAATAACCAGAACTGAATACTGAAATCCTGAAGCAGCACAAACATTTTTAACTCAGGGGGAGATGGTATATTATGGTGGCATATTGTGAGAGGATTAGTACCTGCATATGCTCTGTTTTGTTTTAAAGCACTGTCTTACTTTTTTCCTTGTATGTTCATGTTCCAAGATTCCATTTGGTACCTGAATGAATATTCCGTATGGGATAGAATACTGTTTAGAAAGATGAAATAGAAGTAATACAGTAGCTACTGTCATAACATCAGAAAAAGATTTACTAGTGTTAGTAAGGATCACTAATCATTTCCATTTAACTCGGCAGGCAACATGTCGTGGATGATGCGTGTCCAAAATCAGCAGACGCTTGTCCCCTCGGGAGGAGAGCTGCCCTTGCATGACCTGAGTGTACTCTTTGCCACCACACCCAACAGCCAGTCCGTGGATTTTTCGGGATCGTTATTTGCTAACCGGAGAATTGATTCAGAAACTCTGGAAGACGAGAAGTATGAGGTGAGAGACACTTTCTGTGTGTTCTTTGTTGTGTGACTCTTCTTTATTGTATTCAACTCACTCACTCTCTCACTCTCTCACTCTCTCACTCTCTCAGTCTCTCTCACTCTCTACAGTACCAGACTCTTGAACTATATTCGTGCCCGGGAAATTTGAAGTTTGCTAGCATCTTTCAAACAATTTTTTGGACTTTAGTATTTTAAAAAATTTGTTTGTATGTATGGAATGTTCATAAGTAGAATGTTCTTAAGTAGGGGCTATCTGTACATAGACAAGTATAGAAGCTAAATTTACTCACTGAATATTAATTGACATGAATTCAGCAGGAGCTTCTGAGTCAGCCCTTTGAAGAAACAAGACCAAGAGCCTTCTCCGGGGCATCGGACAGGACCCAAGATTCCGATCCAGGTTCCCAGAGGGATTCAAGTGGCTGGAGCAGTGGCGCCCCCTCGCACACCTCCTCCGACCCCCGGATAAACTCGGCCGACGCGGGTGATGACACGAGGGGGAGTTCTCCGCTGACGAACACAAGCACCTCTGGTAAGCAGGGTGACATGTGGATGTGCGCAGGATGGAGTCTGGATACAAGATTGCATTTGTTTCCGAGTGTCTGTGTTAATACAAGCCTTGGATTGATTTTAAAAAGAATATAATTGGTTGCTATTGTTAGTTGTACTGAGATTCCAGTTTCTTTTCTCTTTCTTTCTTCCTTTGTTTATTTGGTTGTTTATTTCTACTACTGTTTTTTGTTTCCTACAAAATGCTCAGGAGAGAACCCAGACGATCCTCGTGTTCCTGTCCAGCGATGCCATTCTAGTCCAGAAATGAGTGAGGGCGCTGTTGTAGGAGGTAATGAAGTCATGCAACCAGCTGTGGACGAGGAGGATCCCCAGCCAGCCGCCTCGACCCCACCCCAGGCCGTGCCGAGTGATACTGAGCATGTGTCTGCTGCAGCCAAGCCAGTCAAACCAAAACCTAGGTATTTATCTTTTATTTCGGAAGTGGACGGAATTGTCGAGTAATGGGTGCAACAGTGTGCTGGGAAGTCCGTAATGTGAGTGTGAATGAGCACGGTTATTATTGTCACTGGAGATTGGTGTTTACACCTAATAAGGATTCTAATTTAACACATTTTAAAAGGCTGTAATCAAATCATTGACTGCTGCTTTTGTTTGGACAGGATGATAATGTAACAGATTTGATTTGCATTAAATAATCTAGTTTTTTTTTATTTCTTGCCATTTTATTCTATCGGAATTAAACTTGAATGTCCTCTGAATGATGTCAGATTTGAGCCAACCATTGGAGGCGGAGGAAGTGTGGGATCAACCTCGCCTCCTCCCATCCCAGCGACCAGAGTGCGGCACACTTCTGCCTATCAGACGGTAAGCCTGTGAATCCCGAATTTGTTTGTAGAAGGTACTTGTGATTTACTGATTTGTTATATG